ATCAATTTGTTTTCCCATCGAAGTTTGTTTTAACATGTTTAGGGACATCCAAATGTGTAAGGCTATTGGAAACCAAAAAAATAAAGGAATGGGATAGCTATAATTGGATAAAATCGGCAGATGAAAACACTAAAATCAATGATTTTTTTCAGTGGCTGTGTGACCTTGTGTCTGACACATTCATATGCAAATGACTAATCTGTGAAACAAATAGGGGCGGAGACAAACCACTCAAATGTTTGGAAACACTATTTGTGTGTCAGATAGCTACTGATAACACATCCTAACATTGCTTTGTCTTGAGTTTATCTTTGAATTTTATAGGCACACAGATTAAACCTGTGTTGATTTTGGTAAACACTACTGAGGCTGCCTTGCTTCCCTTCAGAAAATCTACATTTTAACCAACTTACATGACATTCTATGTTATGTTGACTTTATCACATGAAAGTTTATAGTGCATTTCATCAATTAATAAATAAATATGAAAATCATAATTTTCAACACAAATAATAGTCTCGCTACCTTAAAGCAGCTTTTATGGAGCTAGATCTTACCAGATTGCAAAGGTCCTTCTCAAAACTGGTGTACACCTTCTGTAGCTCAATGTTCATTCTAATATAGGGCTTTAACCATAGGGTCTGGTCAAATTTAAGAGTTCTATGGACCTTTGTCAATCACATGCCCAGTGACAAATACAGATATAAGTTGTGGTAATGAAGCACATAGCTTTCTTTATTACGGAGGTTGGGAACCAGCTTTTCAATCCCTGTCGATGCCACCCCTACACCTAAGTGGTTATGCTGATAACCTGACATCCACTCTTGTTGAATCACTATGCAATCCAGTGCCAACTGGTAGGCATTGTGCACGTCAGGCAACTCTTCTGGGTATTTGCGGTCTGCCTTAAGGAAATAGCCCTCTGGGGCAATCATCAACCCACTTAAAGCCATCTGTTGTTGGCAGCAAGCAAATCATTGCTCAACCATAAAGTTGTTGGTGTCTAAGTAGAGAATATGTCTGTTTGGCTTAGCCCTCTACTCATGGAGTGTCAGCCTTTGCATAATGATTTGAGACCCTTCAAATCCCACCATGGCATTCAGGCTCCTGAACCTCCAGTAGGTCTTCCCCTGGAGTAATCATGTAAGTGGGGTTCGCAGAAATGTTTTTGTACCTACTTTTATTTTGATTATGTAATAAATGACTAAGGGTTTTAATTCAGGTGTAATGGAATTGTCCTGCTTTATCAATTAGTAACAGATTTATCATGTAGAGTATCATATACTCTTGTTGTTTGCTGAGATGATGCACAATAACATCATTGTTCCATCCAAATACATTGATAGCCAAATTGTTCTACTTTTTGACCCTCTGAATCTGAGAAATGGGTGCATCGACCCCTGTGAAATCGAGGTCGTTCTGAATAGTACTTGTAGGATATGTCCACATGGTCGATTGTGAGAAATAAAGCTGAGCAGCGTGCCCGTTTGAAATAGCTATCATAGTTTTTTCACAATGATGACTGCTTTCTTGTTTTATACTGCTGCTGGTAGTGGGATATATAGCTGCTCTTCAGTGGGTGATACTGAATAATGTTCAACCAGAGATTCATAGCTCTTCTGACCACCCATCCAGATTCTTCCTACGTTCATTCTCTAGTGTCTCCTGTATAGCCTTATCTAGTGCCACATTGATCTCGTGAGTTTTTAGGACAGCCTCCTGCTTGTGACGGAGCATTAGATCTATGTACTCCTCACTACCATTCGCATTGTCATTCCGAAGTTGAATCTTTAGAGTGAGTTAAAACTTAACTTTTCCAAAATCTCTTCCGTGAGTTTCAGGTGAATTGTGAGGAGTCTGTTCCAAGGGGATGGTCTTGAGGTACATCCATTTGCCACCCAAAAGTAGTCCTGGGTTGTTCAGAAAGTTGTTTTTGTACAGGATTGGGGTGGAACTCCTCCACAATGACCTTTCTTTTTCTCAATATCTCTGGCAAGCGCTTCTTCATTGCTTCTGAGATTGGTTCATCCACGATGTTGTGAACGACACTTTAGACTAGCTCCAGTGCTTTTCATTCAGCTAATAGCTGATCGATGTATTCACCCATAGTCACCTTGATGAATAAATATATATATCACAAGACTAGAGAAAACTGTTTTTTTTAATCTCTTCTCTGGCTGTATGTCTCAACCGTATTTTATCCCAGCCACAGGCTCGACTGAGCTGTAACTCACTCTGAATTCCTCTGTCATAAAACCTGCATGGTACATGAATTGTATTACCCTTACAAATCCTTAACAGATGGACCTTGCAGTAAATACCAATACAGCTTTTTCCACAAAATTCTGTTTTGCTAGGCACAAAGGTTGTGACAATCCATTATGTTCTTTGCATATAAGTACCCCAAGGTATACAGCAATGGATGTGTCTAAATGGTTGACAGGGGATTCATGGCTATGCTGAGCTGAGGGTACTGTCATGTACTGTCTATCTGTATATCTTGTTGTACGATTATAAATTCATGTACCAGTGAGCCCAGTATAAATTTTCTGCATTTTTATCAACAATAATTGTCCTTATATTCCCTGTATATTGCATTACAAATTAAAAGTGAATGTGGCCAACCTGAAAACAATATTCATCTATATGTACTAAAACCAGTTACCAAGCGGCAATCTAATTTCTAATTTGTAGAGATCCCTGTAGAGAAGTCTGGCAAGAAAATTATTCAAGGTAAATCTTTACCAAAGTTTACCCCTTCCCTCTGTGTCATTTATCAATGCTGATTCCCACGTATTACTGACTTCGAAAATTTAAAGTTCTAACACTGTGATAATGTCGATTAGTATTTCAATGACTGTTACGCCCCAGTTACGCCCCCTATAACATTTTCTCCTCTTTCTGTTCAGCAGATGACGACACGAATATATCCCGATCTGCTGAAGTAACATCCTATACGAGCTGTATAGCCTTGCTGGTATTACTTGTCTCCATTTGTCGAATTATTGAATAAATGTCGGATGTGTATACAATATATAGACGTATCTAGCGTTTTATAACAAAACTTACATTATAACTGCTCATTTTTTAAAACCATTTAGAGACTATGGGATACATTTCGGGTGTCCGCAATAATTAGACGTATCTAACGATTATAATAGACATTATAATCCACTATCAAGTGACTAATTACATAATTACTCATAACATTTTAAATTATTCATAAGTTGAATCAAGGGCGGTACACAAAACAAGACAATACTAGAGATAAAAACAAAACAGTACTACACGCAGTGCTGGTGACATAACTTGACTCGAATTCGTATTGGTTTTGCGCCTTGCTCCGTAGTCAAACTCTGAGTTGTTGAACACGCAATAGTGAAGCGCAACTGTGTTGCATCGACCAATAAACGACGAGCATATATCGCGTGGTGGCAGAGATATATTCGTCTAAATAGAACGGTGTCTGGAGATTGGTTACGTAGCTGCCGTTGTCCCCTGTCCAGTGTAAGTACGCACTGTGACACATTTACATTATTCAAACAATTTTGCCTAACGCCTTTGGTTGAATACTAAATTAGCCTTATAGAAAAGACATCCTCTAAAAATAAGGAAGCTTACAAATCAGTTGTCATTATGCCAAAATATCTATATTCGTTTTTGATCATTTTCCTGGGGATAAATTCCTTAAACCGGTGTGTCTGACAAACGCAGGGAATTGCCACTGTTGCGTTGAATCATGCAATAAAGACAAATAATTCCTCCTATTCTAGTAGCTGTTGAATTCGAGAAACACAGTTTCAATCTGACTTTGTTGTATTTAAATTAAATTATTTTTTGTCTTATCATCTAGAGTTATTTTTTCAATGTATTGCCAGACAGAGTGTTTGAAATTACCGGTCGCCCGAGTCCATTAAATTTCTGCGGGCCACAAAGTTTTGTAACTGCGTCGCTCGGTTGTTTTTTCAGCAGTAAATTATTTGATGAGCGTTAGTAAGTTAATAAACTATCTAGTAAACCTGTTATTTCTTTGTATTTTTTTTTATTATGAACACATTTTGTTTCGTTTCCGATAGAAAAGTGTGTCTGTGGTTATGCAGTAAAGTTAATAATATATATCATCACGTGAGCACTATGCGATATGGAAATGTTTTGAAGTCGTGCTAACAGTGGTTCTCATTGGCAATATGGGTGGGCGTGGTATCTAATGACGCCCTGCAACTTAACTATGCGAGCCTGGCATCTAAAATAATAATTATGCGTGGGCAGTTACCAATTATTGGCAGCTATGGTTCTCTCACCGCAAATCGAAAGTGTAGAATTAAATACTAGAAATGTGTGTTCAAAAAGCACGATAAAGTGAAGGTTACCAATTAGCTCTAAAATTCAGGAAAAAGGAGATGCAAAAATAGGTGAAACAACAATAGAGAAATTAAATCAACAGCTCAAACCCAAAACATATTATACTCATTCCGAATTTTAGGATGAAATGTTGATTGAAAATGTATATTTTCTTAGCTATTTTATGTTATAGTATCTATAATCTATAAATGTCAGAGTTCTATCATAAATGAAACGTGATTAAAACATTGGTCATATTCTCATGTATTTTAAATAGTTAATAAATGAAACGAAATACTGTTATATCTTTGTTTTACTTCTGGTATCCAAATAAACAATGACTACAACTCAGCAGGCACTCGTCAGATTCTTTGAATGTAATGTACTTGAACATAAAAGTCATAACGATTTATCTGAACGTAAAAACAACATTTTCTGGTGAAAATGAAAAATATATAAAAGTTACCCAAATCCGTGTGAATTTCCTGTTTCTCTTGTTTTATTTAATCCACATTTGTTGCAGGTTGTATTTAACATAACATCAATTTGTAATAGAGTTGCTTTTTGCTCCAATCTATTCTATGCTTTATATCACACGTATTAGTGTCAATGAAACGCACTGATTAAGTACATATAATATACTTTGCTTATAGTGATTTTATCAGCACTTGCTAGTTGGTCGACCAAAAGACATACAGTTCTAAATAATCACATTCACTTAATCTAAGCGTCATGGTGACATTACCGTGCCCCGTGATTGACCCCATAAAACACTTGGAAATTATATACATACTCGAGTATACAAAGAACAACACACTTCTTTCAGAAGCCTATAGACTTGGCATTTATTTAGATAATTTAAACATCTATAATTGGA